ATGGCTTCCTTCTGACCTCTGGTTTCTAATCAAGTTTCTGTTTTCATTTGAATTGAATTGTTTTTCCTCTACAGATAATATATAATTTCTTGCTACTTTCAGTATTTTTTTTCTGTAGTTTTCAGTAGTTTGATTATTGTTTATGTTGGCATGGATTTCTTTGGGTTTGCAGTGTTGTATGTGTTCACTGAGCTTTTTGAACATGTATGTCCTTTGCTATATTTGAGAAGTTTTGAAAAATTATTTGTTTAAGATTATTATTTATTATTATTTTATTTTTTTGGAGAGGTTTTTGCTATAAGGGTGCGTGTGCTCTCCAGAAAGACAGAGAGAAAGAGAGACAGAAAGCGAGAAATCACCCCCCAGAGGGGATGACCACGCCCTTCTTCATTCTCCTCTTGGGACCTTAGGCACACACGCACACGTGCCCACTGTGAGTTTAAGCCACCGGGTCCGGGATTCAAACTGCAGTTGACCACATGGGAGTCCAGCGACATAGCCATTATGCCAGCTGCTGGTCCCTATTATTATTATTTTTAATTTGCTACAGGGCATGTGCATTCACCAGAGAGGAGAGGGGGCAAATGAGAAAGCAAGCTGCCAGGTCCAGGACTCAAACCACAGTTGACCATGTGGGAGTTCAGCATTTTAACCAGCACACTACCTGCTGGCTCATATTTTAGTTTTCATTTCTTACAATACCTTTTTAGCCTATCTTCTTCTGAGTCTCTGATTGTATGAATACTATGTATTTTGTTTTTATTTTGTTTTATTTTCAGAGCTTCCTGAGTTTATTTTTCTGTCTTTTTCCCTCTGTTAAGGGTTCTGGTTGGGTAATTTCTATTGTTCATCTTTACGTTCTCTGTTTCTTTCTTCTGTTGTCTTCATTTTTCTGCAAATTCCATTCATTTTATATGTTTCAGATAAAGTATTTTCTTTTTTTATGATTATTTTATTTAAAGTTATTTATTTATTTATTTATGTATGTATGTATGTTTTAATTTGACCAGAGAGGGACTCAGAGAGAGAGAGAAAGCAAGCTGCCGGGTCCGGGACTCAAACCGTGGTCGACCATGTGGGAGTCCAGTGCCCTTAATCACTGGGCCACCTGCTGGTCCTGCAGATCAAGTTGTTTTTATTTTTTTCTTTTTTTTGGTGGGGGGAAGTTTTTGCTATAGGGCGTGTGCGCTCGCCAGCCAGACAGACAGAGACAGAGAGACAGAAAGCGAGAAATCACCCCCCAGGGGGGATGG